TTCACCACCATCTTCTCTGAAAAATTATAAAAGTCAAAGACACAAACCTGTTTGGGGCAGATTGTTCTTTAAATGAAGATCTTTTACCCTGAAGTGTTTCCTCAAGTTGGCATTTGGTTTCAAGTCTTTCGTTTCTAATTGTAAATGGATTTATTTGTTCATCGAATATTCATTGAGCACTTATTCTTGGGTCAAACAGTACGCTAGGTGTTAAGTCCACTGTGATAAACAATATCAGTGTAGTCATCGCCCTCATGAAGCTTACAATCTAGTAATTGAGACTGATTTTAATCAAATAAGCAGACAACATATAATTACAAAGTATAAATACTATGAGGAAATACAAACGAGATGTTCCTGAAGATAACAGAATATCTGCTGTAGGTTGGGGTTCCCTGGGGTGACATGTAAGAGTCCTAAAGAATGAAAAGGAATGTACCATGTGAACAGTTAGGGTAGAATCTTCCAGGTGAAAGATCAGCAGTGACATCCCAGAATGGAGAATAAGCTTCGTGCATCTGAGGAAGCGAACCGAGGTCAGTGTGTAGAGAATAGGGGATAAAGGAGATGAGTCTGAGAAGGCTGACAGGGGCCAGAGCATGCAGGCTTTGGTGGGTCATGTTACTAATTTTGGATTTTAATCTAAGAACAGTGAGAATCCACCAAAAGTTTTAAGCAAGGGAATGGTATGATCTGATTTATATCTCAAAGAGAATGTTGTGAATACTGTAGGGAGAATCACTGGAGGTAGACAAGAGTAAAAGTAAAGAGAAGTAAAGAGTAGCCTATGTGAGAAACAATAGCTCAGCAAGCCCACCTCTCGGGTATAGTAACTAGGTTTGTTTCCTGAGCTCTGAGTTCAAAGGAGGGTGCGTGGTTCGTAGTATGCTACACTCCTCTTGTCTGAACAACACTAAAATTCATTTTTTAATTTTCTGCCTTTAAGAGTGTCCCCAAAAGTTTATGAAAGGTGTCCACACTGTGGTCTTCTTTTAACTGTGACGATTTAGGGCAGCCCACACTAGTTCCATTCTTTCAGGGACTTCCGTGTATCTCAGGTGGTGAAAGTGAAGGTGAACATAAGTTGACAGAGTCCATATATATTTGAAGATAAATCTAATAAGACTTGCAGGTGGATTGTATTTGTGAGGTGAGGGAGAGAAAGGAATCAAGGATGACTCCAAGAGATGGTTGTGCCATTCACCAAGATGGGGAAATAAGGAAAAAGTGCAGAATAGACTTGAGGGGAAAAAAAAGATTTCCTTTTAGGACTTGTTAAAGTGAAGATGCTAATGAACTATTCAAGTGGAGAGATCAGGTAGGCAGATGGACATAGCGGCATGGAGCTGGTAGCACAGAGCTCTGCAGAAATATTTGAGAGTATTGTTGTTGTTATAAAAGCTACATGAATAGATGAGAATATCTAGGAGAGACTATGGGGAAAGAAAATGACCTAAGACCAAGCCCTGAGGAATGCCAACATTAGAGGCCAAGTAAAAGAAGAGGAACCTACAAAGTAAATTGAGAAGGAACTGTCAAAGCTGTAGGACAAAGAGCAGGAGAGTGGAGTGTCATGGAGGCCAAGAGCCCGGCTTTTTTCTGGGAGTAGTCAGCTGTTGACATGTGTTGAGATAGCACATTAAGATAAATACAGAGAGGTGGGTTTGACAGCAGAAAGATCACTGGTGACTTTAACTAGGGCTGTTTCACTCAGGTGCTGGCATGGGCGGAGGAAGCCAGTTTGGAATAAGAGGCTTTCTCCTTTCTGATTTCAACAATTGGGCCTGGGGACATTATTTGGACAAAGGGGCTGCAGAAATTCCTGCAGGTCTATGTGGCCAATTTCTTCTTTCCAGGATGTGTCTCTGTTATTTTTAATTCTAGTTAGAATATTTCAGACAGGAAGGATGTGTGGAGCTTGTTCTCCCAGACGACGAGTTCATAAATGGACATGATCACATGCATTAGCCAGTGGTCAGGTTCAAGAAAAAAGAGAAAGAGAGAGGGAGGGAAAGGAGAAAGAAAGAAAAATAAGGTTTGCAGAAATAAGAACTAAATGTGATTAATTCTTCAGTCTATGGATAGAAGGAAAAGAGAACATGCATCAAGGTTTCATGAAAACTAGAGTTGAAAATGTTAGAGAAGGGTTCTTCCTGACCACCACAGTTTATGTCACCTCCATGAGGCAGATGATGGGGCAGGGTGGGGAAGGGGCTACCTGCCACCTGGCCTTGATGCTTTACTGAGCTTTTCAGGTTCGGCCTGCTGCTTGTTTAGTGTTGAACTGAAGAATTCTTGTCCAGAAAAATGAAAACTATTGAACCACGTATATAAGTGTCTATCTTTTAAATCATTTTACTTTATGATCTAGTTTAATTTCTGACTAATATCCTTAATCAATGTTGGCTTAGAACATTTTAGCTTTAAGTGTCTTCTGCTCAGTATTTAATGATCTATAAACAAACATTTGAGAAAGCTTTTTATAATAAGAGGGATTCTTTTGTTTTTTGAATAATTTCATCTTCTAGTTTATCAATATAAGGAAGATGTTTGTAAATGTTAAATATTCTATTCAATGATGGGATCTAGTTCCTGTTGGTCAGCAGTGGCCACTGAGAATGTCCATTTCACATGCTTTGATCCTATTTGCAAGGCAACATCTTACAAAAATGTTCTCGGTAGGTTAAAAGAGTAAAGAAACCAGACATTTACTCCTGGCTGACCCATTTTGTGATCTTGGTCAAGTTACTTAATCTCTCTCTGCTTCAATTCCTTCTTCAGGAAATGGTGTGAATAATCTCAACCTCCCTGTATCTCAGAAATAATTTAAGGACAACTAATTGGCTCTACTGTATGTGATATAATGGTGGGGAAAAGAACTATGAAAAGTTGAAATATCATTACCATGGTCCAAGATAGAAATTACCCTTGTGCACAACTATCCTCCTGTTAGGCCTTTTGAAGGCCACTTTTAACTCTTTCAGGCAATAACTTCCTATATTGGTGGAATTGCCACCATCTATCATTTGTTAGTTCGATTTTAAAATTCTAACCCAGCCAGAAGCAGAACATACTCCAATTTTCATTGAAGACATTTGCATTTGGGGATTTCAGAATATTTTTTGAGATAGCCAGGGATACGTGAGGTAGAATAAAACCACAAGGAATCACAGCATATGGGAATGGCTGACTTACTACGCTTATTCAAAACCTCACCGGCAAGCATGCTAGTTAATGTGGTCCAGTCCATATGGGGGCAGCCACTGGGGCACAGAAGAAAAATATGACTCAACTATGTGTGAAAATCATTATAATCCTCCCACTGCAAGATGCTTTTCCCTTTGGAAGTGCACGTCTCACCTTTATAAGGTAGATATTTTACCCCCACCTCATAAAGGGAGAATTTGAGGCTCAGAGAGACCTTGTAGTTGGTCCAAAATCACATCACTGGTAAATGCATAGAGTCAAGATTAGATTCCAGATCTTCTACAGCTTTTCTAGAATTACTTACTCCCTATGTGAACATGATCATGGATAACAGTCTATGGATAGAAGGAAGAGAGAACATTGTTCACTAAGTACTCCATTCGAATTTCACATCAAAGTTGAAACTTTTTCACAACTGATATTCTACAGGTGGCCAGAATTATTGAAACCATCCACCCCTCTGACCTCTTACTCTCCTTATCTCTTAATAAATCAGCATCAAAGGTACCAGAAAAGAATCCTCAACTTTTAAACAAAGTAGACCCTTGACATTCACAGACTGAGTATGCAGAAGGGTCAGATGGTCTCTGACACATTATAGCAAAAAAAAATCCCATGAGTGGCTGGTTTGTGGGACTGCATCTCTTAGCTTGTGAGGGAGCCTGGCCTGCCATCCAGCATTCAGACATCAATGTGTCCTCTTTGTCTCCACTCATAACTACATACCAAATCTATGGAGAAAAATTACGGTCTAGAATGATATTCTAAAATTTAAGGATTTCCAAAGGTTTGGGGACATATTCCTTACAAAAGTGTTCACTGCATTGAATTTCCCTGCTTTAATTTTGCTTTAGTGGCCAGAAACAAGGGTAGGGCTCATAGTAGTACCTAACTCATCCTAGATTAATGCATTTGTTCTTCTACTTCGCTTCTGACCAGTGGTTGCATTAAAAAAAAAAAAATCATTTCTCATTTTTATTACTCTATCTTGTATGTTTTGTTGTTGTAAATTGTCTCAAATCCTTTCTGAAAGTAGAGAGATCTTAAATCCCAAATAAATGTTGCAACTAGACTTCCTAGAAGGAATCATTTATCTTAATGCCGGGCCTTTCATAATGTTAGAACTACTAACAAGAATAAGAACAATGATTTCTAAAAGACAACAATGAACGTTTTTAGATGAATTCATCTAAATTCTCAGACTATCTGATGGTAGCTAAGAATTATGCTTTGAGTGACACCTAATGGTCGAGAAAGTCACTCTCCTAACTTTTTCCAGAGAACTCAGACCAGTATTTCTCAAAGCTTGGTTCTTGGACCATTTTCAGAACCATCTGGATGCCTATTAAAAATGCAGAGAAATTTCTGGGTGCTGTCCTGGAATCTCTGGGCCTGGCCACCGAGAAATCTGTATTTTGCACAACCTCTCCAGGTGATTCAGATTTATGCTAGAGTTTGAGAAGCACTGATTCGAGTGCTGCCAAGTCAGATATACGCACTAGGCTGTCAGACCTGATGACATCCCAGGAAGTTAGAAGTGGCCAAGGCGAAGGGATGGATTAGGCCCGGGCTCTGCAGTCACGGCCCCGACCTATCGATGAGGGGAGGGGCTGGGGTCATGAGGACGCCAAACACGCAACCCGCGGGTGCGGCCGGCTGCCCTCTCGGCAGTGAGGGCGGGGGTGGCGGGGGCTTGGGACGTCGAAGGCTCTTGTCCCTGACGTAGGGAGGTCGCGGGAGCGTCGAAGGCCTGCGCGGCGCGGTTCCTAACGCCTGTGCTTCCTGTCCCGCAGACGAACCCAACTCCTGGAGTTGTCCCGCTGCCGCCTCCCCAGGTCTGCCGGAAGTAGGCGTCTGCCTGGAAGAAGTCCTCTCGCCATTCTCTCCATCACATCCAGCCCCACCCTCCGACCCTTCCCACCAGATAAGCCCAGACCCGGCTTGGGATATCAAAAGGGAACACGACGTTAGGAAACCAAAGGAGCTTTCAGCCGGCGGCCAGAAGAAGCAGCGCCTCGGGGAGCAGAGGGAGCGCTCGGCGAGCCCGCAGA